AAATAAGAGGATTTTTCTTTAAATATAGCAACGCTATTTGTTTGTATAAAAATCTTTAATATAGAATACACATAAATACACACACACACATTCACACACACACACACAGACACACATATATATATATATATATATATATATATATATATATATATATATATATATATATATATATATATATATATATATATATATATGAGTATGTGTGAGTGCTTGTAAATATCACCCAACTGTGAGGAAAAGCATACGGCCCAAATCAGTATGTTCATGGCACAACTTAGAGAAGTATTTTCGTGGTGACTTTACACATCACAACTTAGAGAAGTATTTTCGTGGTGACTTTACACATCACAACTTAGAGAAGTATATTCGTGGTGATTTTACACATCACAACTTAGTGAAGTATGTTCGTTGTGACATCACACATCACAACTTAGAGAAGTATGTTCGTGGTGACATCACACATCACAACTTAGTGAAGTATGTTCGTTGTGACATCACACATCACAACTTAGTGAAGTATGTTCGTGGTGACTTTACACATCACAACTTAGAGAAGTATATTCGTGGTGACATCACACATCACAACTTAGTGAAGTATGTTCGTTGTGACATCACACATCACAACTTCGAGAAGTATATTCTTGGTGACTTAATACATCACAACTAAGAGAAGTATGTTCGTGGTGATTTTACACATCACAACTTAGTGAAGTATGTTCGTTGTGACATCACACATCACAACTTAGAGAAGTATGTTCGTGGTGATTTTACACATCACAACTTAGTGAAGTATGTTCGTTGTGACATCACACATCACAACTTAGAGAAGTATATTCGTGGTGATTTTACACATCACAACTTAGTGAAGTATGTTCGTGGTGAGTTAAATATCTAATCATATAAGTAGGTTCGTGGTGACTTATCACATCACCACCGATACAAGTAGGTTCGTGGTGACTTAAGTATCAACCCATACAAGTAGGTTCGTGGTATCGACCCATACAAGTAGGTTCGTGGTATTGACCCATACAAGTAGGTTCGTGGTATTGACCCATACAAGTAGGTTCGTGGTATTGACCCATACAAGTAGGTTCGTGGTATTGACCCGTACAAGTAGGTTCGTGGTATTGAGCCGTACAAGTAGGTTGGAGGTGAGTTCCCACATTTCGACTCACACATATTATATTAGGAGCTGTTTGACCAACCCTCTCAAGGGGCATACTCGTAGCAAATAAATTAGGTCACGCTCTCAAGGGAGCTAACACGGAATTAGTTATCTTGTTAAACACAGACCAAACAGCTAAGGGAGATAAAAACGCATCAGTGGAGAAAGCCACTTCAATGTATCGAGTACAAGAGAGAAATATGTATTACCCTAAACAAAACTCATTAATTTTAGTATTAAATCACAGATGTATACTACAACTTATAAAATGTTCATGAAAAATGTTCTGCCATTTGTATAACTGAGTTATTCATGATTAGTTCGGTCCTATTCTAAACAAATACTATCAACTCAAATTCAGTTTACAAGGCACTTCAATAATAATAATATACAGTTACCATCTACAAGTAAGAAAAAAATATTACTAGATTACTTAAATCTGTATCAGTCCTCACAAGTCGATGATGAAAACCTTAATACTAAAGCGAACACACAGCTGACGCTGAAAATTACATATCTGTGGCAAAAAAAAAAAAATCTAATTTTAAAAACTGTTATGTCGGTAGCGAGCAATCTTTTTGAAATTAAAAATTATTCTAATTTTAAATCTTTAAAAATAAATTAATATAAGTATTAGCTGGACTAATTTAAAAGTTCATAATCATGATAACTCATTTTTCCAGACTTTCTATCATAAGTGTAAGAAATGAATGTTTTATTCAAATTACCGAAACCTGATTAAAAGGACACAAAAGCTATGTAGTATGTACACTCAATATCAACATCGTCTTCCATTCCAATTCGTGAACATTGTGCAGATGAAGTAGAGTGTTACGACAGACCTCTAAACCAATAAACACGTTTGCAGGTGTAGGCAGTAGCGTAGCGAGGGGGGGGGGGCATATGTCCCCGAGCGCCGAATTTGGGGGCGCCAAAATGGGTTGGAAAAATAAATTGAAAGGTTGAGGGGGGTGCAAATTGAAAGTTTGAGGGGGGGGTGCAAATTGAAATCTTTAGGGGGGGGTGCAAATCGAAAGTTTGACGGGGGGGGGGGTACAAATCGAAATCTTGAGAGGGGGGGGGGGTAAAACGAAAGCTTGAGGGGGGTGCAAATCGAAATCTTGAGGGGGGGGGGGGTGCAAATCGAAAAGTTTGTCCCCAGACGCCGGGAAGGGTCGCTACGCCTCTGGGTGTAGGGCAATGTTCAACCATTATTTTGCTTGTCCTTTTTTATCTCTACACATCACACTCTCCAGCCTAGACGCTACTAACTGCCGCCTTTTATCCCCGCAGTCAACCTTAGGATAACAATACCTAAACACACCAAATTTAACTACACACTAGGGTGAACTCAACTCACACTGCCCTCTAAGTTCTAGACTATTTTAGCTATTTCTAACTTACAACTGACCCGTTACATAGAGCTCATCATTTATATGGGCCTCAGCATACATTGAGTAATGTATGGTGAGCACTAAGACCATAGCCGTCATAGTTAGCAGTCGTGAGCTCTACCAACCGACTTCACATTGAACTGCACCATTATCTACATCATCATCTACCTTTGCATCCTTGCTTATTGTCCAATCGATTGTGAATTGTTGTTAAATGTTTGATTAAAGGATACGTGCAATTTAAAAAAAAATGTATTTTTTAACTGCTAATTAGACTTAACACAAAGCTTAATGTAACAATTATCAATTGTTCGACAGATTAATATTATTATTTCTGCTTAGTAATCTAAAATCTTACTATATAAAGGGAGATAACTTAAACAACTTTTTTTTTATCTTATAAGAGATTAATAAGTAGAATAAGGTAAAAGCCACTGAAGTTTTACAATTTATCATTACACAATGGAGATGAATTAATAACGTTAAACAAAAGCTATTTCAATATTCTTAAGTTTGTCATTGTTTTATTTTAATTACCAAATTGTTTATGGCAGTTTTAATTAAGAAATGAAAACAGTGGGAGGCATCTAAAATTTTAATGTGTCTTTTCCATTTGTCAACATTTTTTTTTTAGGTTGCTGTGTTGAGGGAATTAAACTATAAATAAATGCTGATGTTCTGTCATTTCATCATTTTAAGCTGAGTAGCTTATAATGTGATTACATGAATCCTGCAAGACTTAATGAATTGTTCTTTATTTGGTGGATTAGTGTCCTACGCCATCATTCAAACAGTATTAGGGCAACATGTAGTAATAAGCACAAGAACACTAGTCAATATATTATTATAGATTTATACATCAGCATTATATTATTGAGTGTATGCCAAAGTTTGGGTTATATGTATTTCAAAGTATTTGTATTTTTAAAAAGCCAATGTATTTGTTTCGTTGGATTAAAATTATCCTTTGGGTTATTTGGAATAGATGGGACACCATCATAGCAGTGGCGTAGCGAGGTCGGGTGTCACCCGGTGCAGCACTTAATGGTGTCACCCCCCCCCCCCCCCCCCTCAGATGCGTAGCGACTCTTCCCGGGGACAAATTTCGATTTGATTTGCGCCCCCCCCCCCCCCTCGAACTTTCAATTTGCACCCCCCCCCCCTCAAATTTTTCTCTATATATTTTACTATTTTTTGCCTTGGTGCCACCCCCCCCCCCTAAATGGTGTCACCCGGTGCGATCCGCACCCCCCTTGCTACGCCTCTACATCATAGGATTGGGTTACATGTATTTCAAAGTATTTGTATTTTTAAAAAGCCAATTTATTTGTTTCGTGGGATTAAAATTATGCTTTGGGTTATTTGGAATAGATGGGATACTATGGTAGGATTGTAGTGTACACAACAGCTAAAACACAAATTAGTAGCCTGGATTTTAAACAAAGTCTGTAGGACCCTTCTGAGTTCACCCAGCTCTTCCTTAAGTCAGAGAAATCCAAGACTAGATGTAAAGCTTAAACACTTTCTACTAGTATGCCAAATTCATGAAACACATACTTAACTCACCCATGAGTCCCAAGCATGAGGTAGAAAAAGATGTGTTGGAAACTATCCAAATGCTAAGCCAATCACTAGACATGTCTTAAGAATGTTTGACAAGCATGAATTTTTAAAATGAAAAAACCCTGACATACTATTATGAATTTATTTAAATTTATTCTCTTTACTGATAATTGCGCTACAATGAAACTTGACATAACTTAATGTTTTCATATGCTTAACCTGAACAAAAGCAAGATTTTGAAAGTTAGTTCCATGTATAGGATAGAAACAAATCAGTCAACACTAGATCAATAAATACTGAAATAGATTTATTTTCTCCTGATCATAACAGTAACGAATTCAAGGATGGCAGTAGATGTTCTAAAAATATATTTCAACTCTCAACAGATCCAGCTCAGCCGAGGGTATAATGAACCAAAATATGAGACGTAAGAAAAGTTGTATCACTATGGTGTTTAGCTTGTGAGAGAGAAATCTACATGAGGTTTGGGCATTTCCTGTTGGAAAGGAGCAAACTGCTGGGGGAAGAGACACATGGAAGAAATAAAAAACATGGTCAACCACAGACAGATAAGGGTCAAATAAATAGAGAAATGTACAATTGAAAAAGGTGACAACTTTTACAACCCTGCTCTAAATCTTGTTGAACAATCATTCAAATATTTTTAACAGCTGAAATAAAAGAATAGATCTAGATACTAAATCTAAAAACAATCTGAATTTGTCATAAACAACAACTTTCAAATTGCATTAAATCATTAATTTTTGGGTCTGTTCTAATAAAACTTCACTTAAAATTTTAATACTCTAAACACAGATAATAGATAAAAGATTTGAACATTATGGTATTTTCATAAAAAAAACAAAAACAAAAGCACAATTGAAAATGTCAATACTTAGCAATATAAATTTTTTAACTATTAACTGTTTTTTTTGCAACCAAACATTTTTTACTGATTAATTTATTCACCACTAATATGTCAGTCATTTAGCAGTTTTAAAATTAAATGACAGTAGTCTCTAATCACTGATAAACAACAGTTTCACAAATCAGAATAAACAAGTTACACTATCAAACAATGATAATTTGTACACTGAGCATCAAAAACCAGCTTCCACAAGTCATACACATAGTTATATGGTCATAGAAAATATACCAGTTTATTTTATCTACATGTCCAGCTAAAAATAACCCACATTATACATTCAGCGGGTGAAATGGACACAAAGTCACCAAGTACGGTGGGGTGTGTCAACTAGATTAACACTATGTTAACATCACAAACCAAATACTTATCAAACCATTCTTGGCACATCTCAGATAACCCTAACCAATTACCCAAATAACATAATCCTAAAGTTTAAAAAAGCCGTGGTTTTTTAAATACACACAATAAAACAGATTTTTTTTTTAAAATCACTCTAAATAACATGTACAGCATTATAAGGTGGTATGAAAATTTAAACTTAAAAAAAAAATACACTTGAATTTTGTGGAAAATAATTTCAGAATTGGAATCAAATGAGAAATTTAGATGATACAACAGCCAGATAACAAGTGATCAAAATAAAATAATTAAGCACAAAACAATATAGCCAAGCAGATATTAGATGTCATTAAACCCAGCAACAAGTCATAATAAAATTTCCCGAACAATTCTTGTTTTACAGTATGATAATGGAAACTAATTTTTTTCCACCACTGTATGTCTGAGGTAAATAAACATTTTGCACTAAAAATAATTTATAATATTCATGCTAATGCTATAATTAACAACCCAATTTCAGTCTTTAAAAATAATTCAACAATAGAAAAAAAAAAAAAAACAGAATTAAATGGAATATGGAGTATAAAGTAAAACAAAATACATCTTGACAAAATGTTCTATCAATCCTTGACAAGCAATGTTCGTAGTTTCTGTTACCATTCCCATTACGGGCACTCATCAATTGGAAAAAGCAAGGCAATATGAAAACATGATCCTTTTGGTTTTGGTGCAGTAAAGAAATGAAGAAGTGAACTGAGGATATCACCAGTTTAAAATGTGGACTCTATCCCACCACACATCCCCTAAAGTTTGTATGTACAGCTGGTAACTAATGTCTACTACAGTTAAAATCCTTGTAGTCCATTATACACATGCTGCTTGCTCTGTTGTTTCAGCACACTTTTGAGTTCTGAGAAATAGAAATAGCTCTCAACTCTCACAAAGATAATTACATTATTTTAAAAACTTATTGTTAACTGTGGTGCTTTTTGGTAAATACTAAGGAGCCTTAGGAGATAAAAGTGAGGTTAAATAAAATAAGTGAAGCTGGCAATGTAGCCTAGAGCAAAAAAAATTATTGCTCCTGTTAATTACAGGAATACATTTTACTGGTTATGTCCCCTGGAAAAATTGGACAAAAACAAACCAAAATAAAGAACATTTTAAAATAAAACTTACGCTCTTTTTCTTCATCAGTAAATCCTCCTTTAGGAAATTCAATATCAAATGTAATATAAAGAGATCCTTTCACATTATTGTTTTCATAATTTGGCATTCCTTCATTTGGCTTTCTCATCCTCGCTCCAGGCCAAGTAATTTTATCCCTCACAACATGCACCTAGAACAAATTGCAACGGAATTAGTCTGCACACAAAGATAAATAAAACAAAGTAATTTTATCCCTCACAACATGCACCTAGAACAAATTCCAACAGAATTAGTCTGCACACAAAGATAAATAAAACAAAGAGATCATTCAAAGAGTTTAGTATCCTAGCTTTAGTCAATTTGTCTCCTTTAAAAAACTAGCCCCTCTCAAACAAAATATACACATTTTTAATATGTTTATATTTAATAGTGAAGACATTATGTTAATATATCAGAACTCGCCAAGGCTTATAATGTCAATGGTTATTAAGGTTTAATAAAAATATATTAAAGATGTAGGAAATTAGCACATTATATGAAGAATGGATAGGGGTTAGAATGTAACAATAACTCATGAAAACTTGTATAAAATGGACTTATCCACGCCTCAGTTTACATAACAACACTGTTCTAGGCTGAGTCAAAATCTTAACTTAGTTAGCATTATTAATATCATACCAATTTCAGAGCCTACTTCATCAGCAAAAAAAAAAAAAAAAAAAATTAAATTAAACTGATATTCTTACACCATATTCTTTTGATTGTAATGGCATAGAAATGTTTCCCATATGATAACAATGTGAAGGAAATATGTTGGGTAATGACATCATAGCATATCAGATCAAGCTGCATATATGGCTGTAATGAAACAGAAACCATGAAATACCTTGTGCTCGTCTAAATGCTTGATATCCATTTCAAAGCCAGTCAATGCTTCTGTTAAGGACACGGTGACATTTGTGTAGAGGTCATCACCTCTGCGCTCAAATCTGGGGTGTCTGTGGATACAGATGATATGGATACGTTCTTTTTCTTTCTTCTTCTTCGTTCTTAATTATTAGTGTTGAAGGGGATCGAGATTTATCGGCCAGTGGGTTTGAACTCGAGACTTTTGTTCCAATTTATCAACCATGAGCTTTTTGCCGACTCGACCACGCCTCCAACACAATTAAGCGTTACGTGTCAACTGGTTATGCGCCATTGAGGCCATTGACTCCTATTTCAGCCTGCTTTTCTTTTTGGATTTGCTTCCATAGCCTTTGTCCAACCAAGAACAAACTACAAGGCAGCAGTTGTTTAATTTTGGAGTTGTCTCTCCTAGAAGAGTGGCTGTCCCCAGCTAACGAGCCTCATCTGCCCGAGGGTTCGAACTCAAGACTTTTTTGTTTAGCAACCATGAGCTTTACCGACTCGACCACGCCGACCCCCTTGGATGCATTCAAATTGTATGAGCTAGTCTATACAGACAAATGATATGGACACAGTCATATTATATGAGCTAGTCCAAACAAACAAAACATAACACCATTGTCACCCACCTATAGAAAAGTTACTGTTGTAAGTACATTAGTTACATGTCTATTCACTAAAAAAAAACAACCTCGCCATTTTTTTTTTTAAACTTGAGATTGGTGGGTGAAGTTAAGGCTAGAAAGAATGTATACAAGATATAAATGAGAATCATATTGCCTGATATGAAGCAATGGCTATATGATGAGATTCATGCGTAACTCACTTGACTTGTCGTATTCTAAATCTCAAGTCACCTGGTTCACCATCAGTGTGGGGCTCACCTGTAAGAGAAGTAAACATTTGAGGTGTGCTGAAAGGCATACTTCACCATTTTAACCAAAAATATTACAGTAGGGAAGAAACACAAAAATCACCAACATTCACAAAATAACTAAAATTCTTCTATTGCACCCACAATTGTTTAACATTATATATGTTCAAAGAAGAAAACATCATCTTAGAATATAAATTAAACTGTTATATGTCTAGGTTTAAAAAAACAAGGTGGGGGTGACTCTTCGATACCTTACCATGGCTTTAGGACAACATTTTAAAAATTACTAAAACAATACTAATATATTAAAAAGTTTTTGAAATGTAACTACAGTTAACCTACATTTAAATATATATGTATACTCCTGTAATACAATAATACACAATCTCTGACTAAAAAATCAGACAGAGTTTAATAGTAAGGATCCATTTTTGACTGGCATTGTAGCAAATTGAAACACTTGTATATAAAAAAAAAAAATTGGGTGATAAAGTATTCCTGTATAATATAGACTACTCAAATATTATAATTAGCAGATAGTTTGGACAAATAAAATTGGATGATCACTTATTTAGCTGTAATTTTTTTCGTGTCAGGTTACTGGCAAAAAAACAATGTCAACGTGACCCTTTCCTACTATCTTTTTTTCAAGTTTCTTTAACACTACTTTCAAATGGAAAATACTAAAAATAATTCATATTTTATTAAATACTCTTTATTGTTTAATCTTTTTTATATTTTGGTATAATGCGCAAAAAAAAATCTATATTAAAACATGTCAGGGGGTCAGACATTTTCTTTCTAACATTATTCATATAGATTGTATACGAGACTAAAGGTCATTTAATCCTGCATACATTTAGCTAATTTTAGAAATCATATGTAAAGGGGCAGTTGTAAAAAGTTTATGTGGTGCTATTCTCTGAGCAACAAAAAATCTATTTCTCATTTATTAATTCACAAATAGGCAACTTATTATAAAACTTAATTATTCGATTCCTTGTTAATAGATAAACAAGTAGGAGTAAGTAGTGAAAATATGCAAAAACACAATTTTTAGGGCAATGAAGTACCAAATTAGCAATGCTAAAATGAATAATTTTCTTGGCACACTATGTTAACAACTTACCCTCAGCAACAAATGGATATTCTTGTCCATCTCTCATGCCAGGCTCTATCTCAATTTCTAAAACCTTTTCCTCAGGAACAAATCTACAACAAAGAAGAAAAATTACAGACTAAATAAAGAATGTAAAACTTTCATTGTTGCCCATTATAACATATACCTTCATTGGAAAATAAGCTAATGCTTATACATTATAGTTTACTATTTGTTAACTGCCCAGACACTAGAAAAGCTTAAGTGTATTTACTTATGAATGTTTTGAATTATTTAATTATTATATTCTTGTAAAAAAGAAAGTTTTCTTTAAGCAGTAGTCTTAGATGTAAGCAGAAGGTCAATGATTTAGATTACAGTAAGTTGAATAACACAATACATTGTTTGTGAAACATATTACATTGATTTTATCCCCCATAAACCAACATTTAGTGCGTACACATGTATTAGAGTGTTAAGGCACACAACAATGATCAAATGTACTATCACACATTAAGCAACAAATTAGAAAAGAATCGTCTAAGAGGGATGTGCCTAAAAATAGTAAATTCACAGCCAACAATACACCTTGACCAACAGATTAAAAAAAAGATAGGAAGTCTACACAAAGGGAAAGAACAACAGCTGGCCATTATAACTAATGAAAAATCAATGCTGAACTGCTTAACCATTGCTAGCTGTTGTACATCTGTTGCCTTCACATAATAAAAATTGTCAGCTGTGTATAAAACTGTACAACTCCCTAATTCTGGATCTGATAAGTTTATGCTTGTGCATTACAATACTTTTCATTTAATCAATATCTTCAATTGCCTTTGATGTCACTAAAAATGGGAGATAAATGTGTTGAGCAAAAAAAACATAGCTTAACTAAAGTAAAGAAATAATTGTTAATTGAGCCCACATTTAAACATTCTATTTTTAACATATGATACAGATTAATGCAAAGTCTGAAAGAAATTGGTCTATAAAGGGTGGATAAGAAACTGATAGTTAGACTCCAACCACAACGATCAGAAAAAAAAATCAAGTTGAATATAATTTAAACAAAAAAGTTGAATAACCTGTATGAAAGCGTAAGCACACAAAAGGATGTTTTTACTGTACAAACACAAGCCCATTGTAAACTCATCAGTAAAAAAAAAAAATGTGTTGAGTAGATGGTGGCAGACCAACCCAACTTACTTGATATTAGGGCACTCATCGCAGACTTGTTGTTGGGTCATAGAAAACCTGCCTGGGCCCAGCTGTTGGGTTACCATCTCCATGCGACAGTTGCATTTCCTCTTGCCCTTTGCTGGCTTGGCAACTGGTTTATACCGTAATACCTGTAAAGGGGCAACAATTAGATACTTTACAGCATAATTTTTTAATAAAATTTATAGACTGGCAACTGGTTTATACTGTAACACCTGTAAAGGGGCAACAATTAGATACTTTACAGCATTATTTTTTTTTTAAATTAAAAAAAAAAGGCAACAAGTTTATACCATAATACAATTAGATACTTTACAGCATTATTTTTATTTTATTTATAGACTGGCAACTGGTTTATAGCTAAACACCTGTTAAGGGTAACAATTAGATATTTTGCTGCATTTAAAAACAAATTGTTTTGGCAATAGGTTTACATTGCGAAACCTAAGAACATAACAAAACAACTATATCCTTATGAATAAATTGCAATTTTTTATATTTTTCTCCCCACCGGTGGATCAACATACGAAAAAGACATTTCTAATTTAATATCTTATCTATAGAGTTAAATTTAAAAAAAAAACATTCGTCTATTATTTTGAAAATATATTTTGTCCAGAGAATTCAAGATTAAATTTAAAATCACAATTTCTCCAAGTTATGACAAAACAAAAAGTTAGACAAAATGTCTAATCTTCATAGGAAACATTTAAGAACATTGTTTAACGTGGTGGTTTACCTCAACAAAGTTTCCATTGTACATCTCTTCCAATGTCACATCTAGATCCAGCACCACATCACCACCTCGGGGAATTTCTCTGTCCTGTTCTTTCATATTACCAAAGCCAAAACCACCAAAGTCTCCAAAAAAACTAAAAAAAACAAAAACAGAGCCATAAAAAAATCAATCATGAAAATGCGATGACTAAACTCTAGATAATTACAAATGAAATGATGAGTTGTAAATTACAAATAAAATAATCTGCAGCAGATTACAAATGAAATGATCAGCTGTCAATTACCTAGAGAAAGGATCACCTCTCATATCACCCTGCTTTAAACCTTCTTCACCATGTTTATCATAGATCTTTCTTTTCTCAGGATCTGACAGAACCTACAGACAAGTTGTATAGAACACTTAATGCTAGATTGTTGTACATTAATGCTGATTATATTAAGTTTTTAAGTTATATAAGCATTTCTGCTGATACAGAAATATTCTAATACAATTATCAGCCACATTAAACTAACAAGGCACCAAACAACATCTTTCTCACTTAATCTATATATATATGGATAAATATAAAGATACAGAAATAAACATGTTTAGATAAATGAAAACAAAAATATTTTTTAAAAACAGATCTTGCTTATTCAACGGATCTCCAGCACAAACCTCATACGCAGCCCCAAGTGTAGCAAAGCGTTCCTGCGCATCGGGATCATCTTTATTTTTGTCTGGATGTAATTCTTTTGCTAATTTTCTGTAGGCCCTTTTTATCTGGTACGTGTCAGCAGACCGAGGAACATTTAGTATGTTGTAGAAATCTCTCCTGTTCAAATATAAATCAGACATACAGATATTACATTTTGCGTAGATAGAAGTATTAGAGAAAAAAGATTACAGTAAGAATGGGTGTGAATGATTGACAAGTAGGCTTATGTGCCAAACCTTGTGTCATGTTTGGTGGTGGTGGTGGGTGATACACTAACTTTAGTGAGGACTAAGGGAGATTAGTGGGATTTTAAAAATAATCATAATCATATTGAATAAAAATCAGTGCAATTGTTGTAACAGGATCAATATCTTGCTGGTGGTAGTTGTGTGAGGAAAAGCCTATCATAAAATAAAAAAAAAACTATAACAGTGAGCAACTTGTCTAGAATAGACTTTTTAAATTACCACCAGTTTGGAATAGTTTGGGGAATAGCCCCAATATGGCTATTCACAGCCAGCTAATACTTCATGCAAAATAATATGCGAAAATAACAATAGCATTTAGATAATCTTTCGTGACTTATTTTTATTTTTTAAAAACCAAGTGACCCCTATTTGGTTGATCACTAGTGACCTCAAATGTAAGACTAAGAGTGATATAAATGTACTAGTTAATTAAGAGTGATATAAATGTACTAGTTATTGCTAGTAGAGACCTTATTTGAATTTTTATTTGGCTAGGCCCTAATAAAAATGTTGCTAATAATAATAGGTCGTACTAGAATAACTAGATTCTAGATCTAATAAAAAAATTATTTTGGTTTTGGATCTGTAGATTTCTAGAATCTGCTTGAGTTTGAGTTTCTAGAGCGAAGTAGAGTGCACCTTAGTTACTTAGTTAGAGTTAGACTAAGGCACTAAGGCTGGCTTAGGCTAGGCTTAGGAGGGCTGGCTTTAGTTAGGGCTTAGCTTAGACTTTTTAAGACTTAAAAAAGTGGCAAGTGGCTTAAGAGCTGCAAGTTGCACTGGACCTACTTTTTATTATTTTTAAGCAGGCATATCTCTAAAATAAACGTGTATCAGACATTATATTATTAAGAATAAGTATTTGTTAACTTTGTATTTCTTAGTGATGACTTGTAAAAGTTTTACAATCCGACCAATCACAGCGCCCCACGCAAGGTATTGACAACAGAGGAAAAGATCACTCAACTTTCGGTTTAGTTTTATTTAAAAAAACCAACATAATCACAACAGCTGAAATAAATATATATCATATTTTAAAAAAGAAACATTAAAGTGTCATTTATAAAAACAAAAAATAAGTATTTACCCAGCTAAAACTTGAAGTAAAATTATCATAAAGTTGAGCATAAAACACAGACTTGTCACCGGCGACGCCATTTTATAAAACTTCCGGGTTATTGTAAAACTAGAATGCATTGTGGAAAAAACCACAAGTAACCGTTACTCTGAAAAACAGTAATTCAAGTTTTACATTTATTTACATGAGTTGTATACCTTTAGAAATGGAAACCGTTGAAAAGAAATCATATTATATATTTGTTTAAATAAATACTTCTAATGCACTGAAGAAAAAATAAGAACTCGCTTTCTGTAGTAAAATAATTGGTCGCTAAAATGTGTAAGAGATTTCTTGAGCAACCAGTGCTTTTACTACAGAGAGCAAGTTTATTTTATCTTTTGAGATCAACAATCCCCCCCCCCCCTCAGTGTTTCCTCCAGATTTTTTTTCTCCCGGGGCACTTGATATTTTTGGAGGGGGGGGGACAACATTCTCCGGCGGGTGGGGGGGGGGGGGGGAGAGCGGCCACTGGTAAAAGTATATGTTTTCTATATAAATTCCATTTCGTTCGGGGGGGGGAGGAGAAATGCCTGGAAGAAACTGTCATCCTCCTTTCCCACAAACCATACCAGACGAAATTATTTTAAACCCGGAAGAGATTTAAGAGTCTTGAAAGAAAAAACTTAATAAATTGTGTTCAAGATGTATTCATAAACGCGTGTACAGTGATTCTTTCAGATATTGTCCGGGGGCGGGGGGGGGGGGGACATTTGGGGCGTGGACAAAGATTAAAATATGTAATTTGGATTTAAAATATATTTTTTTCGAGGGGATTTGGGGGTGCTAGATTTGTTTCGAGAGAGGGGGTCGTGCCCACTCACCCCCTTCCCCCGAACCCACAGAAAAAAATGCCTTAAAGAAACCCAAGTGGTCTTATAGACAAACAATTCAATATATTATCCAATATATTATTCAATATATTATTCAATATATTATCCAACTTCAAAGAGATATTTTTAAACACCCACTCTTGAAGTCTGAGTACACCGCGAACTATTTTATCCTCTATAAAACACAGAGAGAAGCACAGGTCTCGGAAACACACATTCACACTTTCTTTTTCGCGATCTCCCTATTTCTTCATCTCTCCCAACCTCTATCTCTCCATATCTCTCTTACAATCTCTTTCTCTTCCTATCTCTCTCCCCATCTCTCTCTCCCTTTCTCTTTCTCCCCATCTCCAGAGTTTCTTCCAGGCATCTCTTTTTAACGCCCCCCCCCCCTCCCCGAACGAAATGAAATTTATATAATTTAAATAGAAAAAATATACTTTTAACAGTGTCCGCCCCCCCCCCCGAAGAAAGTCTACCGCCCCCCCCCCCCCCCGAAAATTTCAATTGGCCCCCCGTAGAAAAAAGTCTGGAAGAAACACTGCCCATCTCTCTCTCCTTCACTCTCTCCATCTTTATCTCCCTTATCTCTCTCCTCTTCAATCTCCCCATCTCGCTCTCCCCTTCACTCTCTCCATCTCTCTCCCTTCACTCCCCCCATCTCTCTCCCTTTCTCTCTCCCCCATCTGTCTCTCCCCTTCACTCTCCCCATCTCTCTCCCTTCACTCCCCCCATCTCTCTCCCTTTCTCTCTCCCCCATCTCTCTCTCCCCTTCACTCTCCCCATCTCTCTTCCCTTCACTCTCTCCATTTCTCTCCCTTCACTCTCTCCATTTCTCTCCCTTCACTCTCTCCCCCATATCTCTACCCTTCACTCTCCCCATCTCTCTCTCTCTTCCTTTCTCTCTCCCCCATCTGTCTCTCCCCTTCACTCTCCCCATCTCTCTCCCCTTCACTCTCCCCATCTCTCTCCCCTTCACTCTCTCCATCTCCCTCCCTTCACTCCCCCCATCTCTCTCCCTTTCTCTCTCCCCCATCTCTCTCCCTTTCTCTCTCCCCCATCTCTCTCTTCCCTTCACTCTCCCCATCTCTCTCCCTTTCTCTCTCCCCAATCTGTCTCCCCCCTTCACTCTCCCCATCTCTCTCCCTTTCTCTCTCCCCAATCTGTCTCCCCCCTTCACTCTCCCCATCTCTCTCCCTTTCTCTCTCCCCAATCTGTCTCCCCCCTTCACTCTCCCCATCTCTCTCCCTTTCTCTCTCCCCAATCTGTCTCCCCCCTTCACACTCTCCATCTCTCTCCCTTCACTCCCCCCATCTCTCCCCCTTTCTCTCTCCCCCATCTGTCTCTCTCCTTCACTCTCCCCATCTCTCTCTCCCTTTCTCTCTCCCCCATCTCTCGCTTCCCTTCTCTTTCTTCCGATCTCGCTTTCTTTATCTCTCTCTCTGCTAAAACATAAACAAAACACTCCCACACACACTCGTTTACCCCCGCCCCCACACACACATCGATGAAACAAAAGCATCTACCCTCAGCACTAGCCGAGTGGCGCAGACGACTCACTGTCACGTCCAGCAGAAGACAACATCATTGTCTCCCCTGGCAGAGCGCGGGAAATTGTTTCAAAAGGCGATGAGCTCAATGGCTTACATCAACGTGGAATTCTGTGCATTCATATTGACGTCTGTGTTATAAAAACAATCTTCACTCATCGTGTGATATTTAGTGATAACTTGTTGTTTTACTAGAACAACAATCTTTACTCACACGTGTGATATACAGTGTTTTCTAATGTCTTTATATTTTATAGAAACAATCTTCACTCATCGTGTGATATTTACTGTTGTTATATTATAACAGCAATCTTCACTCACACTTGTGATATATAGTGTTTATTTTAACAGCAATCTTTACTCACACAATATGTGAATTATAGTGATATGCAGTGTCGTTTATTTTGTGTCCCGTAACATTTGATTTGATTCTGATATATGATAATACACTGGATCGTTTATAATCAAAAGGTGACTAGTTTCTTTGAAGTACATTTTCATTCAATCTGATTTTTATGATACTCAGGATTTTTGTATTCGAAATGTTGTACCCGCACTAAAGCTGGGTGTTTTGTATATTTATTGTTTCAATAAAGGTTAGTTCAATGATGTGATTAAATGGTTATAAGATATTGTTTCCTGAAAGGGTAAAGTGAAAATATTAGTTGGTTTATTAATATAAAAGTAAACTTTACCTTTTGGTAGGTGAGATGAATTAGATTTCATTTGTTTCTCGAGCTAGCTTGTGAAGGAATTGTGTGCTCAACTCAGAGGCGTAGTGAATATATTATTCATATTGGTGCCCCCCCCCCCCTCAATTCTGGGTAGTCTGGGTAGCCAAGTAGCAGTCTATTTTTTTTTAACTTCGACCGTGTATAGTTCACAGAGGCGTAGCGACCCTTCCCGGCGCCCGGGGACAAACTTTTCGATTTGCACACCCCCCCTCAAACTTTCGATTTGCACCCCCCTCAAACTTTCAATTTGCACCCCCCCCTCAACCTTTCAATTTATTTTTCCAACCCATTTTGGCGCCCCCTAAGGTCGGCGCCCGGGGACATATGCCCCCCCGTCCCCCCCCCCCTCGCTACGCTACTGATAGTTCAGTAATGTTGCTCAGAACGAGTTTAGCGACCACCATCGAATCAGCGCCCGGCGCGGCTGCTCCACCCACCCTCCCCTAGCTACGCCTCTGACTCAATACAGATCTTCCTGTTTTACCTAATATGAAATGGGTACCCATCAGTGCTGAGTGAACTCAGGGACATGTTACAGACTGCGACATCACAAACTTAGATTTTACGTTTACAATCGATCTTTCAACCGTCCACAACGTCACATACATTAAAAATATATTTTTTCTTTCTTATAGTGAAGGTCTTCTATTACACAAAGTATGCAGTTGTACATGTTAAAATGTAAAAGGTAATAACAGTTGCGTGATTTCACTTTAAGCTACTTCTTACTTGGTTTATATGATACAATAATAAGCATTGGTTATTTACCCCCACTCACAAACCAGTCTTTCTGTTTAGCTAAGTGCTTTAGACCAGTGGCGTAGCGAGGTCGGGTATCACCCGGTGCGGCACTTAATGGTGTCACCCCCCCCCCCCCAGAGGCGTAGCGACTTATCCCGGGGACAAACTTTCAAACTTTCGGTTTGCACACCCCCCGTCAAACTTTCGATTTGCCCCCCCCCCCCCCCCCCGTCCAACGTTCGATTTGCATCCCCCCTCCCCCATCCCTTTTCGGGATTTGTCAAATTTGCTCTTAAAAGACTTTTTAACACTCGAATTAATCACTTAATTAAGTGGAAATATCATTTTTTCCCTATATATTTTGCTATTTTTTGCCTTGGTGTCACCCCCCTAAACGGTGTCACCCGGTGCGGTCCACACCCCCCGCCCCCAACCCCTCGCTACGCCACTGCTTTAGACCTATCTTTTCTCTTGGTTCTTTGTATCCATTTACAAGTACGCTTTATAAGACACCGCAACATAACATATAGTGTCTGCAGTTGAAAAAAAAAGAATAAACACTAAAAACTATTTTTAACTTTTACTGGCTGTTAATCCACGAGCGAATGCATTGATTAAGTTTGGGTTAATTAAGATTAGATCAAGTTTCTGAAGCAGAAACCGAGTAACAAAAGTCTGAGAAAAACACAACGATGCTGGTACATTGTTGACGATTCCCCTTTAACGGACACAATCAAAGTCTTTAGAAATTTCCCAGCGCAAAACAGGTTGTTTTCCTATTGTTGTGAGCTTAGAATAGGCGCTTGGTGCAACTTCGTTAAGAAAGTCGTAGCTATAGAGACATAGTTGTCTTATACTGAGAGTTTTTTTTTTTTCGTTTTGTTGTGTGCATAGAAATAAAGCTTGGTGCAACTTCGTTAAGACAGTCCTTGTTTCAGAAAACATGGTTGTCTTAACACAAACTATACTGGGTTGTTGACCTTTACGTAAAAAATGAAACTTTGAATCTTTGTCAGGTTGATGTCCGTTAATACTTTTAAAAAAATTGTAGACAAAAATTTTCAAAATTAATGCAGTTTGTAAGCACTTTTCCACGAGTAATTAAAACGAATTATAATTTCTTCGGGATTAATAATGTATTTCCTTTTAAATATTAAAACAAGTATCCATTTTTAAATATAATATTTTTAAAAA